GCACTCGATGTAACTTGGAGGAAGTTTTTTAATTATGAAGTTTGACACAAAATCAAAACCTGCTGACTTCTTAGGCTTTAACGTTTTAATTAATCGTGAGATTTCACAAACACTAGTTTTTTCGACTTTATCTTTTGAGATTATTAATTTATTTAACAACTCTTTATATTCAATGTCTAAATGAGTTTCATGTGCATTATAACAATCCAGAGCAGATGCTTTAAACTGTTCACTGTAATACTGATATAGTTCGTTTGTAATTTCTTGTTGAGTTGATATTATTTTAGAGCCATCCGAAAGTTTATAAAAAGGCAGCGTACGCGATTTGTGAATGCGAGATAAGTGTGTCCAAAACGCTTTATCTGATTTATCGTAAGACGTTTGAATGTTAACCAAAACATTTTGCCATTGAGCATTTTTGTATTTAGCAACTTCAACTTTGGTCTCTCTCGTCATTGTACGTAGTAGCACCCTCGCTTCCTCATTAAAAACTCCCTTATGTCTTAAATAATAATATCTATTTCTCACTTTTCGTATTTCTTTTAATTTTTCGATGATATACTCCGGTAATGATGGTTTATATTTATCTCTCTCTTTTCAATGAGTCACTCTATTTTTGACAGCCGCGATGAAACGAATATATTGTTTGTACCACTCATCAGCACTATTTTTTTTTGTTCTCTCATCCAGAATGTTTGTAATAGCGTTATTACTGCTTCAAATGCCTTCCGATTTGTATGAGGAAAAAAACTGTTTATATCGAAAAAAATGTTCTCACACGATAACACAATCGGCCAATGATCACTAGTGCCAAAAAACAATGTTTCGCTTGAAATAGTACTCATATTAGAGAACGACAAATCTATATTACGTAGAGAGCGCTTAGATGAGTTGGACGTTGATGGAATGTAATTGAGATTATTTTCATTAATCCATTCTTTCACGTGCGCACCTCTCCTATCAGTTATTGGACTATTCCATTCCTTGACTGTTGCATTAAGGTCACCTGATAGTATGGTACCTTCTACGACATAAGACAAGATATCATCAAGATCACGCTGTTGACTAGTGGACCAGTAAATACCAATGATACGTACTGATTCTGATAGACCTGTTATATCAATGACAACTGTGTTCGGAATGTTAACCTTGATGCGCGTCGCTTTCAGATGCTTCCCTACTGCTATACATACTCCTCCATTCTTGTTAGTACCCTTTTGATAGAACGTGTTAAAATGTGGTAATCGACTCATGTTCCATAACTCTCCAACTTCTGTAAATATACCAATAGAAGCTTGAATTTGATACACTAAATCAATAGCTTCAAGCACACGCGTACCCCAACCTTCGACATTGTAACATAGGAACTTAATATGTTCTTTTTGGATTTGTGAAGGAGCTATTCCAGCATTTCCCCATTGTTCTAAGACTGTGTTCAAGGTTCTACCCATGTACCATTCATCTAAAAGAGATAATACTAATTTCTGATCTTTAGGTGCAAAATTCCAAGTTTTCAGCCGGTGCATAGCTTCATCTATAGGACTAAATGAATAATTCTCTGAAGCAGGAAAGAAAACTTTAGCGTGTACATTAAGATCTGACGTTCTACTTATCATTCTGTGATGATTTGTGATCTGATGCAGAGTGTTGATCAATGTTAGTATTATGCACAAACAGATCAACTTGCTGATTTAATTGATTTAATTGGAAACCATTTATTAATCTTGAGGACGCGACATGAAGGCGCTTGTAGTATTCGCTCGTGACCTGTACCAACGATGATCTTTCAATTTTGCTAGCAGTTAACGATGCTGGTATAACATATTGCATGAAGTCTTTCATCATATTGATAGTATCTGCTAAGACTGCTTGATGTAGCTGAATATCGAGAGTAACGGTTTTTATACTTGATGATACTAGATCAACTTTATTTTCAAGCCGTTTGTTACTATCAATTAGTTTTGTCAGATTATCATTGATGGATTCAATTGTTTTATCAGTATATGATGCTCGTAAATTATTCGATTCAACAGTTGTACGTGGTAGCGCAGTATTCCATTTTTTATTAGAATTATTATCACTTGCTGCTAATGGTGGAAAATCTTGCTCTCGACGTTCAAATGTAGGTGCTTTCTCTTGCGGTGAGAATCGCTGTAATAGTCCTTTTTGTATGGCATCTTCGACATCTTCCTTTAATTGATCTTTATATTCTTTTAAAACTTGACATTGACTATCCAACGAATGATGATCTCCATCACATTGAGCACATTTCGGTACATTTTTACACATATGCGGAGTATTGACATTCAGACTTTCAAGACAAATACGACATTTGCTTTCTGAGTTGCATTTGTTCCTTAAATGACCAATACGCCAACATTTCGTCCAGTAAGTTAAACGATTTCCCGGATAAAATTTGGTGATCGATAACCACGAATGACCTATTGCAATTCGACCCAGTTGCAACACAGCATTATATTCACCATAATCTTTCACTTCGAATCGATAATCATCTGTTCTTCTTTGGTATGAATAATGAATACGTTTAATACGATCTGCAGAAGCAATTGTTCGCTGAATTTCATTTGAAACAAAATTTTCATCTAATTCCCTAGGTACATAACGGACGACGAGAGCGAATGAGTCAGGTATATATTTTGGTTTCACGACCACAATATCAATTCCATTTATCTTTGTTGGCCATTTATCCGAACTGACGAGAGTAGCGTAATCTTCTTTATTATTAACACCTAACTTTAGCTTTTTTCCTGCCCATCCTACTAATGTAAATCTATTGATTAAAACACCATTGGTTTGCAGTTCTTTCAGTATAAGATCACTTGCATGAAGAGCTGTTGGAATGCTATTACAATCCGCATCCGAGGTGAATTCAATAAAGAAACATGGTAAATTAGACGATACCGCGTGCTTCAGTTGATTAAAAGAAATTCGTTTACGATTCGTATTATCTTGATTTATCTCTTGATGTTGTCTTACATCTGACGACATCGAAGACGATGGTTGCTGTGTTTGTAAATTAATTTCTGGTTGTACATTATGTGAGTGCTTATGTGCATTATTGTCAATACCCCTTCGAGGATATTTACGGAGACCTCTTCCGTTGCTGATCGAACCTCCGCTTTCATCTAGTGGATGACCACGTTTCTGTGTTGAATTCACTGGTTGCATGAGTTGTTGTTGCTGATTTGACTTTGAATAATTTTTCTGCAAGTACTTGTGTACATTTAAAGCTGCTTGCGGACACTCCGATAAAAATCTTGTTATAAGTTCAACTTGAACATTTGATATATATATAGATATAGAACCTTGTTCTAGTGACTCATATTCCTTTCCAGACTGAAGATCCTCATTAGGATCAATATTAATTGCCTCTGCCATCAGTACTCTCGTATCGACTTAGAGAGGCAGATGCACAAAGAATGTAACGATAACAAAAAAGAAAAATGTGACTATACTTCACGAAGCAAAAATGAGAATGATCAATAATCGACTAACAATGATAATAGTGTAAAGTCTATGAGATGGAAATGCTAGTATGTTATATTGGATGGATTCCGAGCTAACTCTTTGATCATTTTGAGCCTCGCTCCCAGAACGCTTCAGGATGATGCCAAATACTATGCTCTATATCGAACAATTTCTATTAAATTTAATGTTGATTAGAGATATCACTTATTTAACAAATTGTATTTTCGATATTTTTTCTTTCGGTATTTTTCCCTTCGGTATTTCTCTTTTCGACATTTTTCCACTTCTCTAAAAATTTTCATCATTTTTTTCTCAACATTTTTCTTTTTGGTCTTTTGACGGTCAACCTTTCAAATAACGATATTAAGATTATTGTTTATTTTGAAAAATAAGAAAAGAAAACAACGCATTGATGATATAAAGTAAAGGAGTAGAGTCCCAATTTATTCGTACACATATATAAAAGAACGATACAAAAAGGTGAAAACGTAATACTGACGTAAATAGTAATAACATGTGCATCCTCCAAATAAATGTATGTAAATAGAAAAAGAAAAGATTGTTTATCATCATAAGAAACTAAATATATCATTTGATAAGTTTAGCAGTGGGAAAGATGGGTAAAATTGTTTTAACTGGTTCAACTGGTGCACTTGGTTCAAAAGTTTTACGATATTTATTCGAATTTGGTGTTAATTCAAAAGATATAATAATATCTGTTTATAATCCAAATGGTATTGACCCTAACTTAGAAAAAATTGTTTTTGATGTACGTCATGGAGATTATAAGAAAAAAGAAACTCTTGAAAAAGCATTTCAAGGTGGAGAAATTTTATTTCTAATCTCATCTATTACAATTAACAATGAAAAACGAACTGCAGAACATCGAAATGCTATTGATGCAGCTATAAATGTTGGAATTAAACATATTTATTATACAAGTTCATCAATTGGAGACACAAGAGATGTAGAAATAATGAGAGCACATTTAAATACAGAAGATTTACTTAAATCATCGCCTATTAAATATACAATTATTCGTGAAGGATTTTATTCCGAAGTTTTTCCACTTTTTCTTGGACATTTTGATGCTAAAACAACAAATGAAATTGTTATACCAGCAGATGGTGGAATTCCTTTTGTTGCAAGAGATGATTTAGCTGAAGCAACAGCAAAAATATTAATAGAACCAACTAATATTTATCAAAATAAAACTATTTTATTAACTGGTTCAAGACTTTATACATTAAAAGAAACAGCTTTAATTGTTTCAAAAATTCTAGATCGTCAAATTCCAATAAAAATTGTTTCATTAGACGAATATATTAATCGAAATTTAAAAAATCAAAATGAAGTATGGGTAAGAATATGGGCTACAATTTATTTAGCATTACAACGTGGAGACCTTTCACAAATTGATACAACTTTGGAAAAAATATTACAACGATCACCGAAAAGTTTTGAACAAACTATCAAAGAAATGTTAACAGAGAAAGACACAGATGATAAAGAAACACAAATTAATAATAAATATATCCAAGCATCAACATTCAATAATAAAACTTAATTTCATTTTAATGGACTTTTTTAAATAATAAATAATATCTCTTATTTTAATGAAGATGTATATCTAGAAATAATCTAAGATGTTATATATGATTCGGTACGTGACGCTTGCAAAATATGAAAGTACAATAGTGGCACCTCTCACTCATCTACTACGTTGCCGTTACACAATACAATGACAGTGCAGAGGCACGAACTTTATCTTTATTGGTAGTTTGCCTGTTATGTGTGAACAGATGTATTATCAAAGTCGAGAGAAAAAATAACCTATTTTTATTCCCTGCGTAAAAAGAATCAAATTGCATAATTTTAGTTTAACATTTTGGCAGCTCTTTTTTGCATTGATAGAAAATCGAAACATTCTGAAAGGTTAGTAAAAGATTGAGTCATAAGGAAGCGAGATAACAGCTTATTGAAAATAACAGTACAGAACAAAACAAAGCACACAAACGCCACATTTACTGCTGGACGCAGTTTTACAGTCAATAGAATTTATTCCAACTGATTAAATCAATGTCAACAATATCTCTTCTTAATTTACCAGTCGAGATTTTACATTATATATGTGACTATCTGGTTATATCGATCATTCTTCGTTCGTTTCGTTATGTCTGTAAAGATTTATATGCTATTATTAACACATTTGATCGTTATAAGGTTAATATTAGTTCAATATCAGTACCTGAATTGGAAGAATGAGGGCGCATAAGATAGGGAATCGGCCCATTGGTATTTTTCCTGACAAGCTCTATTCAATTTTATATCAACAGAAAGAGTAAGTTGAGACGAGCATTTTGATGCTAAATTCATGAGACCTTGCTAGAGTTGTGAAGACTAAAAGTCTTAAACAAAATAACTCATTTTTGGCCATTAATTCGTGCAGAGTGGTTCCAATTCTATAATAAATATGTAAGACAAAATAGTACTTAAATAATGAATTTGATAGCTCTTGAGTAGGACTTCAATTCTATATAAAAATCATCAATCGATTATTTAGTTTCATGAGATAAAGATTGAATGCATTAAGAAGTGCTACGAATATTTGTCATGTTCTTTTATTTTTCGGCAGATATTCGACTGAGAAAACTGAAATAACTAAAAAATTGGCTCAGTACATTTGATAGCCCTTTTCAAAAGATACAATTTCATTACATTTCCATTTTAAAAAGAGCATGGTCACTAGTGCAAAAAATGTCCTTAATAGTTTTCATACACCATACTGTAGGCTTTTTTGACTTGAGTTCGTCAAGGATCATTGAAATTCGAATTTTATCCGCTATTTTGATTTAGATTTGTACTCGTTACTGAAGATTAAGTTGTTTTAGAAATCCTAGAACATATATTTAGAGTCATCCAGAAACATAGAGGTGCTAGGAAGGCCATAAAAATACATCAATACTCCAGAACTATATATTCTACATATTTTACACCAAAGTAACGTTTGATAACCACTGAAAATATCAGAAAAATCTTATAGAAAATATTTAATTAACACTTAAAGAGTCAAACGATATAAATTAGATAGAATAAAGGGATCGCGAAACGTGTTCTTTTTTATTGAAACAAATGAATATCTGACAAGGGAAGGTTCCCAGGTGTGTCTCGGGGATTTCAATGAAAATGATGTCGGTTTGTTAAGTCAAGTATATCTATCCTAGTTGTGAAACAATTAGGTGCTTGGACTGCGTTAGTAAAAAATTATAGACGAAACAGTTTTCAAAAATTTGACATATATGCCTCGCTATACAGGTTTTTTTCTTATGAATTTTTTAAAAATTCTAGTGTATTTGCTCTCTAAGTATTATATATCTTGTTCGATTTGTGTGCTCTCTGTGCTTTCTTTATATCATCCTGGATCTTGTATATTAACTATATGTATTCTGTATCTCTATATGTTCGTACTTTCTTCTTCAGATCTCTGTTATCACTATTTATTTGTTTTTCTGATATACATCTCTCTTATATTCGTGTATTCGTTCGCTCTTTCGATCTATAAATAGACCACGATGTTCGAAATAAATTATGTAATAACCTTCACAATCTCTAAAGTGATATATTACGGTGTTCTCAACATAAATATGATAAATGTTAACAACATTCTTTACATGTTTAACAATCTGGTGCGTCAGAAATATTCAGAAACTACTCAAACTAAGCCATCGTCCAAAGATTATGAGCTGGCGGATCAATTATTTCTGTTGTTTAACCAACTACTAACTCTAACAGAACCGCTAGTCGACCATATTATAACATTGGATTTCGATGAATATGACGATTGTAGTGCTGATTATCAAGAGAAAGATAAGAATGATATTACATTGAACGTCGATGATATAAAATATTTCTTTAGGACAATGTGTGCCATCATTGAATTTTCAAAAACCCACACTTTTCATACATTATGTAAGCGATATAGACAAATAAAACACAAGGAACAGTTACGCCGAATGAAGCAATACGTTAATGCTCAAGGTACAAAAACATAAAAACTCCAACGTGGTGATGACTTAGTCTATACGGAATTTATTCGTACTCGAGAATGCTGTTTATCAATACACGATTCCGATTTAAGACGCTTGGCTATCAAAAAAGCACATGATTTAAATATTGTTTGGTTTTACGGCATCTCATTATTGGATATTCAACTTCAAACATCGCCACCACATTTCATCAAGAAAGCGACAAAGTTGGTGACCAAAAATCATTTGGAAGATCGAGATAAAATATTAAAATCTGCCGAAAATTTCGTCAAGACAGTAAAAATTTCCATTCCAGATTATACTAAAGATCATATATTGAACAGCGATCAAAGCAGTTTCAGGTGCGATATTCATGAATGGAAGGAAATTAGATAGAAAATAAAATTTTTGGTTTTTCAGTTATGACAATCCATCAACACGGACACTAGCAACAACTGGTGAAAAAATAATAAAAGGCCAGGTCAAATCAATGAATCCTGTTACTCATTCATACACGATTTTGCCGATCATTAGTATGGCTGGAAAATTAATTGGCTCGGTTTTTATATGTTTACAAGAGCCTATGGGAAAACTCGAACCACGTGCCAAACAATGCATTTATTAAGCGAGTAATATTCATGTTATATGCAGCAAGTCCAGAAAATTAACTAAAACATATATTCAGTATTGCACTGAAAATGTTTTAAATTCATCGATTTCGGAAGATTGTTTACTACTGCTCGACTCTTGGTCTGGCCAGACCGACCCTAGCATTTTTGATGATATTTTCGTTGAAAATATCACTTGTAAGCAAATGCAAATTCGACTAAAACAAACCGGTGATATTCAATCATTGGATCGTTATTTTCTTCGACAATGGAAATATTTTAAACAAAAGATTTATGACGGCGTGGATATTGATCAAATGGACATTGACATCTTTGTAGAAATTTCATTTTAAAAATGCATTCTTTGATATACAATCAACTGGCAGCTAAAATATTCTCATCTTTAACCAAATATGCTTGGTATTCAAGTGGTTCTATCTTAAAAGGGCCTGGTCATTTTGAGAATGTACACGATCTATGTTTCTCTTTCGATGATGATTTGTGTTCTATGACAGCGTGCAGTGACTTTTCTTTCATTTGCTGTTGCCATTGTCATCGTATTCTGTGCTTCAACCGCTTTTTTGTAGATGGTCATAAACATTAATAAAAAACTTCTTGTTTGTTGTGAAACAAGTAATGCGTTAGTCCCATTCATACAAAAACTGGTGTAGCTTTCAAAATATATGGCGATGGTTTGTCTGGGGGTGGGTGTTGGTGTGGGTGGGTGGGAGTGGGTGTGAGGATGTGGGTGTGGATGTGGGTGAGTGTGGGGGTAGGGGTGAATGTACGTTATCATAGACTAACACTCACAACCACACCCTTAATAGTGGTACGATCGATAAAAAGTTCACCTTTATCGTACCAGACTATTACCGTCTTGTCCGGATCACTGTTAAACTGAAAATGTATGAACTCGACTATATATATATGAAAAGAAAATTTCTTCCTTTTTTTGTACAATCTCTTCTGATGAAGGGCAATGTTGTTGTCCAAAACGTTAAGTTATTTAAATAAATAAATAAATATGAATTGGCAAGTGAACAATTTACTCAACAATGTCAATAATCTTTCTTAATCGAAAACTAAATATATGTTTGGTCATATCTCGGATTTCAAGAGTGATAATTCACTTTCATATTGAATTTTGATTGGATTCATTTGTTTTATTCTATTTAAGCGGGAATGAAAATGATCTAAATAATATTAATAATAAAACTAAATGACATCAAGAGAACGATCCATCAACAACATCAAACATGGACAAAGATAAATAAGTTAATCGTACACAAATAGGTACATTTGGAAATAATCCATTTATGATGAAATGATTCGAACTAATATGTTGACCATATTCCATAGATACTAGTTGATTAAATTCATTTGAAAATGATCGTTTTGGGCAATTACTTTCAGCAACATTTATTTGTCTCAGATCAATTTCGACCTTTACTTCTATAGAAGATTAATCATATCATTTGGAAGAAACACTTGATTATCTTAAATCAACATTCAATGTTAATAAAAAGAAAACTATTCAATGTAGACAAGGTGGTTATTGCTTCGTAATTAGGAAATATTCATTGTAAAATAAATTTCAATTATTAATCTTCTTTTATTCGTGTGTTGAGCTAAAATGTTTTGGATATTCTCTTAGAACTAAAAGGTGTCTACGGAGTAAACTTTAGATGGATATTCTATAAATAAAGTTAGTTTCTGAAAATAATGGCTAACGTCGAGAAAGAATATTTCAATATAATAATCTCATACTTACAGAATAACTTATTTTGCGAATCTCAACAGTCTTAACAAGAGTACTTTATTTTGAATGCATAAGATCTTCTGATTTAGATCCATTTTCATATCAGAGTATTTTATCGGCTGGTCTAGCTGAGCGATCTGCAAAAAAAACACTACTACCAATATTGTATCTTAGG